TCGCATCAGGATGTAACTCACTCCCCAGGGCAAACTTAGGTCAAGGCAAATTATACAAAAAGGGTCTTCTGGCTTTAGGTAGTGTGGACAGGGGGAGCGTGCAGGGCACTTCCTACCCTCTCCTTGCTTTGGGCTCACTCCCTCACTCTCCAAGTGTCATTTCTTCGTGGAACTTGGGAGTCCTGTGGCTTCCCACCTGAGATGGCAGTCTTTCTATCACTTCAGGCCGCGATCTAGCCACCTCCAGGGCCTCTGTCTCACCCACAGCAGCCTCTACTCCAGAGGTCTGGTTCCTGCTGACAGCAGGGAAGGAATGAACAGAGGCATCACAAATCCCATTTTCCAGCCCATGTCACAAACTTTTCTGAGCCATGGAATGAGCTGTCATCTCAGGAGTGCCCAAAGCGGAGTTGGTGATGGTCTTGCAATTCTGAGGTATCTAGCTGCTGGGAATCTGCTAGGGTAGCCCGAGAGGCTTCACCATGATGTCCGTGATTCCCAGGATGTCCATGATGTGAAGTGGGCACTTCTTTACAGCAAGCAGAGAGGAGCAGCTCCGACTTTCCCGGCTCCTTCTTGGTAGGCTAGTACCGGGCCGCCTGCAGGACGCTTAAGCACACAGCAAATGGGAAAAACCGCATCAGCATCACTCTGCATCTGCAGCGTCAGACCTGGCGTAGACAGCTCTAGAGGTAGAAGCCATGAAGAGCCCATCTGCGTTTTCAAGTAGCCACCTCTTCTCACACAGAAGCGACTTCACAGCCACCCCACAGCCAATTCCTCTGCCAGGGTCCCCAAATCTCCAGTAACCAAGGAAACCTTTGCTGAAGGGTAAGTTCCAGAAACCTCACTTAAAATCAGCAGCATTAACAAAGTTTTCAAAATATTTCTTCTGTCCAGTTTAATCATGATTTGCTCAAGCTCTAAAACATATTAAAATATACTTCAACATTCTCCTAACTATATTTATATATAAATCCCTGAGAAGATACCTGTCAACTTGAAATTCACTATTTACAGTTCATAAACACCCTGGGTGCAAGCAGAGGCCCCAAGCCTTCACCCTCTGTGCTGTCCCATGTCAGGAGAGCAGACCAGGCCACCCTTCCTAAAAGTAGGAGGGATTGGGTGCTGAGGCGGGACCCCAGCACAGGAGTGGCAGGGCCTGCTGCTCACTCATCCTTGGGGACTCAGAGGTCCTGACCTGACAATGCAGCAGGGCCACCATAATGCTTCTCAGGGACCCCTGTTCTGATATTTTAGACCTCAGGACAGCAGGTGCCAAAGATGAGCAAGGAGTTTAACCAAACTGGGAGAAGAAAACAGGTCAAGAAAGAAAAAGAAGGGGGAACTAAAGAGAAGGTAAAGAGAATTTCAGGGAAGGAATGTGGAAGCTGGATGGGACACTGTGGTGGGTCCTCGCCCATCAGCACCTGATGATAAATGGATGGAGGAGCCTCAGTGACGAGGTGCCTGCCGCTGTTCATAGCAGTAAAAACACACAGAAATGACGCCAGCTGGGCTGTCTGGGAGACCAGAGGTGGTTTCTCTCTGCCTCAGGGACCAGATGATCATATCTTTTCTGTGAATCCCATACCCAGAAAAGGTCACCCTAACAATGTTGCCTAAGAAGGGACTGGCTCACTGAGCCCCACAAGCCTCCTCAAGGTCACCCAGCTTACTCACTCTCTCGATGGAGCTAATCACAAGCCTAGCTGCTGCCCCCACCTGCCTCCCCCACCCTTCTCACAGTGACACTATCAAGCCTGTGCAGGAGGGTCCCACTTGAGGATATCTGTCCTTGTGCTCACACAGATCCCCAAATTGAGAGACTCCAAAGGCCACCTGCTGAGAAGCATCCAGACTTCTTTTCCTGACCTTCTGCTCTACCTGCCCAAGATTGGGCACAGTGTCCACTGGCTGTCGTGTAGCCCACTCCAAAGAGGCCGAGAAAAAAAGAGCAAAAGCCTCCTCCTTAGATAGAGGAAAGAGGGGAGAGACATTGTCCTTGAAGGAAAACACTGCTGGCAAATATGCTTCCACACAGCCACAGTGACTTGATTCTGGAGAGAGGGACTGGTGAGAGTTTGCACCAGGCTCTGCATGGACACTTCCTGCACTTGAGTCCTTTGGGCTTCACAGACAATTTCTTCTGTCTGGGGGTACATCTCAGCTCTCCTCCTGCCAGTCAGCTCTCCCACGCATCTGTCTTTCTTCATGAATCCCACCAGGTCATGGCCACTCCCATGGAAAAGGGAATGTGGTGGGTTCACCTTCAACTCTGCCAAAGAAACTTCTGTGCTGACCCCAGTTTGCTGGCCTAATAGATTTTATAAATGCATGTATCTCTAGAGCTGTCTTGTGGACACCAGCAGTATTGCTGGCCAAACTCCTTGCTGGTCAGGTGTGTCCTGTGCAGCTGGTCAAGGCTGGAACAAACAGGAGAGGAGGCCCCAGAACAGAAACTGAAGAAATCACCTGTCTCGATGTTGATAGTCCACCCATCACTGGACACTGACAATGGGTCATGTGAAGTAGAGGGCTGGATGGGACCAGGAATGTGCACTTCTGATCAGGTAGCAGCAGAGACATGGCTTGACAGGGTGTGGGGCTCCATACCATTCCCAGTGCATAGGTCCCATGGTGGTTAACAAGCAGGATTACTTGGCAATGCAGTGGTAGGCAGATGCCGAATCAGCCAGAACAGACACTGCATAACACTGGCTGTTCCAATGACACTTTGACTTTCTTACAAACTTAGAGTCTTTTGTGGGAGCTCAGGATGGGTGTCCAGGAAGAGCAACCCCCAAGTGATAGGAGAAGCTGCAGTTCTCAACACAAGCTGCAGTGTACTCTCCTGGGAACTCAAACACTGGGGTTCTTCTCCCCCAGAACAACACAGTGCCAGCCTCCGCAGTAGGGGTAAAGGCAAGAAATGTTGACAAACTGCCTGGTGGTCCTCAGGGCACTCAGTATTGAATGTCCCAGATTAGAGGCCATTTGGCATTGCCTGGCTGGGCGCTCAGCTGATGAGGGAGGAGCTGTGGCAAGCTAGGTGAAGCTGTGGATTCTACAGACATGGCACGGAGATGCCACAATGCCAGGGACCCAGAAAAGACAACCTCCAAAGATAACTGAGGTCAAGAAGATGTGGTCAAATCCAACTTCCAAGCCACAGGGGTGATCTACAACCAAGTAATTTGCATAGTTCTAAAGGTAGGTCCAGGATTCTGTGGCATTCATCTTGATGTCTTTCTGGGTTTAAGAAGAAACACGCTAAAATCTGATTCTGAAACACAGTATTTTTATCTCACCAGTCTCTCCAACATCCTGGGCACAGCCTTATGATCTAATAAGTGGGGAAGGGCTGGCATGAGATCCCCCATTGCTCAACACCCCGAAGGTGCTGATGGGAAGCCGCAAGGAGAACCCAGAGCCACCCTCTGCCTGCATCATGAGACAGATAAGTGTGTGTCAGCATGTATCCAGGGTTATAGTAAGGAGCTTCCAAACAGTCTATGATAGTTTTTGAATCCATGGTTCCCAGTATTTCAATTAAATATTTAAATAAAGTGCATGTGTGACAGATATTCTAAGACCCAGTAAGAATTTGTCAGTTTTTGGAGATAAAAGCATAGACAGAAAACTCCCTTGAGAGCTCAGGGCCCAGGCAAATCACATCTGCATCCTGCCAAAGTCCCCACATCCTGGACATCTTATACAGTTGGCGTAAGGATGAACTAAAGATCAGGGACAATCATCAAAGGAGAAATAGAAGTAAACTCCACTAGAGCCTGGATGAGAGGGCTGCCCTGAAAATGCAAATTCTCCTAGAAATTTGCCCAAAACAAGCTTGTTAAAACTCAGTTCTAGCCTCCTGTTCCCATAAATCACCCTCCTGCCCCCTTCAGCAGTTCCATCCCTCTGGGATCCTATCTTTCCTGAATTTTTACATTTTAAGGATATACAGATTTGACTTATCTAAGAGCACGTAAGACTTAATTTTGTATTTCCAGTAATCATTTGTTGAGCTCACCCCACTTATTAAAAGACATTTTTTTCTCTTATAGCCAATAAAAGATTTCCTATGCAGTTTATCCAAAGTGCCCTGTTTAAAATGAGTCTAGCAAGAAATGCAGTTAATGCATTGTTTCCTAATAATTTGACAATGATTTTCATTATTATTACTGTATGAACAAAAGAGATTTAAAATAAGACACTGAAATCTGAACTATTTCATTTGATAATTTTGCTGTAAAAGTCAATGCCTCCATCAAATAAAAACAAATATTTAGCATCAATTAATCAAATAGGAAAATCTACACCAAAGCACACCCACAATGAGATGGAAAGGCAAAAGCCAAAACCAATGGCAAAAAGGAGAATCCCATGAATTGTGTGAATTCATACAGCTCTCACAAATATTTATTGCTAGATACAGCATTTTAAACCAGGAGTCTTCAGACTCATATATTAAAACTGCCTTAAATACAAACATCCCCATCATTTGTAAAATGCTGCAGATTGGTATATAATGATAAAAAGTACAAAGTTATACAAAAACCCTGCCCTTTGATAAATTGGTTTTTAAAAATTCTTAATTGTGGTTCTCTAAAGGGAGAGATTAAGTGTATTGCCCGCTAGATGTATTGATTGCTAGGGGAAGGACGGTTAGGCAAATCAATATGTGCTGTTCCCAGCTCCCTCTTGGGAACACTTGACCACTTCCTGGGATCCCAGAAGGCAGCTGTCAGGAGAGGTGGCCCAGCACAGTATGAGCACACTGCAGGAGCCTGGCGCTCACCTCTGAGCGTCCAGCAGGGGGGCAGCCTCCCCAGCACCTCTCCTCCACCTTCTCCACAGTCATGCCACGCCCCAGCTCCCGCCTTCCTCCC